GTCTGACACTTTTATATATATCTTAAATTAAAGCTAATGTAATATGCTTTATCATGGTAAAAAAAAATTTCGGACTTTATCTTATCTTCACGGTGAAAACAGACATCAAAGTTAATAAAAAAAATACGATTTTTGTAAAAAAATGCTTTTTTATATTTTTAACTTTATAATGCTATAACTTCTCGAAAAATGTATGGATCAATATAACTCTTTTTTTTATAGATGCATGATGTCTTTACCTATCATTTGGTATTTTTTATTTTTATATACGACCCATTACCTGCCCACTGGNCATTTGGTATATTTTTTTCATAAATTTAACCCTTAACCTGCCCACAAGGGGGGATTTAAAATGACAACTTTTTCACAAAAAATTAATTTTTTTAACTTAAATTTTGAAAATGTTCCGGAAAGTCTGACACTTTTATATATATCTTAAATTAAAGCTAATGTAATATACTTTATCATGAAAAAAAAAAATTTCGGACTTTATCTTATGTTCACGGGGAAAATGGTTACCGAATGCTATTTGTGCTATATTTGTGTGAACATTTTCGATTTTATATTTTTTATTTTATTTTAAAATACCTTAAAAAAGATATTTATTCTCATTAGATTTTTATCTCATTTAGATTCAATAACTTCAATGAATATCACAGACCCCAACATTATAGTTTCCCCTCGTTTCATGAAATTTCTTTTTCATATTAAAAGTATTATCTAGTTAAAGATTACCCTTAAAAATTGAAAAAATTTCCAATTTATCAATTAAAAAGTTACTTAGCCCTTATTTTCCATATAGACAATTATAATCATTCAGTTCCAATGCATTTATCGTTAAAATAAGTTTGAATTTATTAATTTTTCAACTTTATTTTTGTTTTCTTTAAATATTCTATAATAATGCAAATTTTTTTTTTGTTAAAATGTTGCTATATAAATCATTTCTAAAAAAAATTATTTTTAATTTCATTTAAATTTCACTATGGATTTTTACAATTATAATCAAATTTTATAATACATTCAATTTAGTAAATTTTTTTAACAACTTTTTGAAAATATTTATTTTGACATTAAGCTAGTATAACTTTTTAAAAAATATTTTTAAAAAGGGAATTTATTTTGTTTTTTAAATTTGGGCGTTTTCTGAAATCATGAAAAAAATGTACCACAAACCCTCACCAAAAAAATTTAATTTGAAACTTTCTTTATACACATTATTTTTTAATTTTTATTTTACACTGTTATTACTTTTAAAAAAATGTACAACTAGGTAATAAAAGTGGAGGCCACAGTGATAAGGTCATCAATTTACATAAGTGTTATATTAATTTAACTTACATTTACAATTTCCTTGGGTAAATTAGAAGATGTTCGAGTTGATTCTCAGTACACATATGAATTCATTCCTAAACTTTAGGCTATTGAAACGATAAAAATTTATAATTTTTCATACTTCAGCCTATTAGCATTACCCAGGAGACACCACGAGGAGGTTGGCTGTTAAGTCTCCCAAAAATTTTTTTAGCTTCGATGAGAAGCAGAGAAGTTATTTTACTCTTATTTTGTCTTGAGATAAAAATATTTAAGTTGAATTAATATAAAATAAAATACATCGAAGCTAAAATGTAGTCAATTATTGTCAACATAATTACTAATATGAAGGTAAAAATTTAAAACGTTTTATGAAAACAAAATTTATATCCATCCATCAAAATTAAAGATTTAGATTTTTCACTTAAAATATACTATATTAATAAAAAACGATTTTTTTTAGGGAGACGACGATTTGCTGTTCATTAAAAATAACATTTTTATAATAAATAGTTTTACTTAATTATTAGTCTTGTCACACAAAATGCAATAGAAATCAAAATGTTTGTAATCATTTAATCTATACTCATCAGCTATACAATCAGTTACCACACGACGACAACATGTAGTGCATGACACCCATTCAATTCTGCTGTGATGTTCTATATACTTTTGGCAATATAAACATATGTTTGCCATGTCACCTGAATTTTCTAGCAGTAAACTTTTTAATTCGTTTCTATAATTATTAGGGTTGAACTTCTTGTCGAAATGTGACTTATTTATTATTGTGATAGCGTAGTATATTACATAAACTCCACAGTTATAAGCATCAACTTGTTTTGGTATGTTTTTGGCTTTACATTGAACCAATGATACTTGAGGAATTGGTTTTTTAACATAAGTACAATGTGTTTTTAACCCTCTATATAACTTTTGAAACTTTTGCATTGCATTGATTGTATTTTGGATCTTTAGTAGGATTCATTGGGTCTATTATGCAACACTCTTTAAGTTCGAAATTAATTACTGCAATA